TGCTCTGTGGGATTCCCGAGCCCTTTCCTCCAGCCCAGAGGAATGGAATACTCTGGAATACATTCAGCAGGCTCCCATCAACTTTTTTGTGAGACCCCACCTGCAGAGCTGCCTCCAGCTCTGGGGACCCCAACACAGGAAGGATGTGGAGCTGCTGGAACAAATCCTGAGGAGGCCACAAAGGTGCTCTCAGAGCTGGAGCCCCTCTGCTCTGGGGACAGGCTGGGAGAGCTGGGGGGGTTCCCCTGGAGAAGAGAAGGATCCAGGGAGACCTGAGAGCCCCTTGCAGGGCTTAAAGGGGCTCCAGGAGAGCTGGAGAGGGACTGGGGACAAGGCATGGAGGGACAGGACACAGGGAATGGCTTCCCACTGCCAGAGGGCAGGGTTAGATGGGATATTGGGAAGGAATTCCTCCCTGTGAGGGTGGGCAGGCCCTGGCACAGGTTGCCCAGAGAAGCTGTGGCTGCCCCTGGAAGTGTCCAAGGCCAGGCTGGACGGGGCTTGGAGCAACCTGGGCTGGTAGAAGGTGTCTCTGCCCATGGCAGGGGGTGGGACTGGATGATCTTCAGTCTTTTCCAACCCAAACCAGCCTGGGATTCTATGGTGACTTTGTCAGGACAGCCCTGGGACATGGGGAGCTCTGGAGATGCTTTGCCTGGACTGAACCTCCTCTTTTCCCAGCACCAGCAGGATGAGGTGACAGTGGCAGTCCTGGGACTGGCCCTGAGCACCCAGAGGCTTTTTGAGGTGATCTGCTGTGCCAAGGACATCTTTGTGTGTCCTCCTCTCCAGATCTATCCCACTGAGCCAGGATGAGGCCAAAACACGGGATCAGAAGCAGTAAGGAGCTGCCAAGCTGCTGCCTTGCTCTGCTCTCAGGTGTGCTGTGAAATATTTCCCATTATTGGCTTTAATCCCTCAGGCCCAGGGGCATGGGGTTTCTCTGGTGACCCCAAATACAGTTTTGGCCATCCCTGATGTCCCTGGGCCCACAGTGCACACCTCTACTGCCACACAAGGACCTCCATCACCACAGCAGCAGGACTTACCCTGCTGTGGAGAGAAAACAGGACAGGTCTGTGTTCTCCCAGAGCCCTTAACCCCAGACCATGTCCTGCTGGGCACCAGAAACCTGTGCTCTGTCCTAAAACTCACAGACAACACCTCCAACAGGAACTGGATATCTCTCTAACCAAAAATTCATGTCTTCATCAAAAGAAGCCCCACTGACAAATCAAAATCAAAATATTTCCTCCCTCCTGAAGCTGATGAACTGAGCCAGCTCAGGTCCTGCAGGCAGCCCCCTCCACCTGGATTTAACACATCCAGGTAAGAAGCTGGAGATCCTCCCCCACAGGGATGTCTCAGGAACAGGTATGAGCAGCTCCTGCAGCTCCCTCTCCCAGCAGAGACCCCCAGCATCCATCCATCCATCCACCCACCCATCGATCCATCGATCCATCCATCCATCCATCGATCCATCCATCCACCCATCCATCCATCCATCCATCCACCCATCCATCCATCCATCCATC